CTGTGTCTTTTGATTGGGGAATTTAATCCTTTTACATTAAGAGTTGTTATTGAGGGCTGGCCCGGTGGCGCACTCGGTAGAGTGCGGCGCTTGGGAGCGCGGCGGCGCTCCCGCTGAGGGTTCAGATCCCATATAGAGACCGGTCCGCTCACTGGTTGAGCGCGGTGCGGGCGCGACACTGAGGGTTGCGATCCTGTTACCGGTCACGAAAAAAGACAAAACAAAAAAAAAGAAGAAGAAAAAGAAAAAGAGTTGTTATTGAAAGGTGTTGATTTACTCCTAGCATTTTATTGATTTTTGTTTGGATGTCTTAAGTGTCTTTTTTTCCTTTCTTTCTGATTTACTGTTTGTCTTCTGTATTTGTTGGTTCCTTGGGTTGTAGATAAACTTTTTTTTTTTCTTTTCATTGTTGCCATTTTTATTTTACTAGTGGGTTTTGATTTTTCTTAAGTTTTTACGGCAGTGGTAGTTATTTTTCATGTACCAAACCCAGTACTCCCTAGAGAATTTCCTGTAAGGGCGGTCGTGTGGTAGTGAACTCTCACAGTTTTTGTTTGTCTGAGAAATATACTATTTGCCCTTCATTTCGGAAGGATATCCTTGCGGGGTAGGGTATTCTTAGCTGGCGATCTCTGTCTTTTAGTATTTTGAATACATCATCCCATTCCTTTCTGGCTTTTAGGGTTTGTGATGAAAAGTCTGATGTTAGTCTGAGTGGGCCTCCCTTATCAGTGGTTTGACACTTCTCTCTTGCAGCGTTTAAGATTCTGTCTTTGTCTTTGAATTTTCCTAGTTTGACTATAACATGTCTTGGAGAAGACCTTTTTGGGTTGAATACGTTTGGGGATCTATGAGCCTCCTGAATCTGAAGATGTGTCTTTTCCTATACCTGGGAAGTTTTCTGCCACTATTTTGTTGAATATGTTTTCAATGCAATCTCCTTTTTCCTCCCCTTCTGGAATACCCATGACTCGGATATTTGAGCGCTTAAAGTTTTCTGATATCTCTCTTAGATTTTCTTCAATGTTTTTAATTCTTTTTTCTTTATTTTTGTCTGCCTGTGTTATTTCAAACAGCCCATCTTCAAGGTCAGAAGTTCTGTCTTTTGCTTCTGCAAGCCTGCTGGTTAAACTCTCTCGTGTGTTTTTTATTTGGTTGACTGAATTCTTTAGCTCAGCAAGCTCTGCTACATTCTTTTTCAGGGCATTGATTTCCTTGTATATTTCTTTTTCAGGTCCTGTATACATTTCCTCATTCCATCGTGTTGTCTAGCTGAGTTTTCTTGTATCTCATTTAGTTTCCTTAGAATTATCACTCAAAATTCCTTGTCAGACATTTCAAGGGCTTCTTGTTCTATAGGATCTAGATCTTGAGAGTTATTATTCTTTGGTGGTGTACTTTCTTGATTTTTCATATTTCTGGTATCTTTCCTTTGATGTTTAGTCATTGTGGCAGGGGATTTCACAGTCCACTGGTTTGACACTATTGTCTGGCTAGGATGCTGCTGGGACTGCCAATTTGGTACAGCTACCTCAGTGTCTGTTCAGTTGCCCACTAGTGCCTCGGGTGCGTGGTCACCTCAGATCTTGGGCCTCTTGGGGGAGTTGCCTCTCTGGCCAGCACACACTCAGCTGGGCTGGGGATAGAGTCGGGTAGTGGTGGCAAGGCCTACCTGCTGGGTCGCGCGCTGGCACCACAGGGCGTGTAGTCTCCACATATCTTGGGCTTCTCCTGCTGGGCACCTCTCTGATCAGTGCACACTCAGCGGGGCTGGGGATGGAGTTGGGCAGCGGCGGTGAGGCCTACCTGCTGGGTCGTGCGCTGGCACCACAGGGCGCATACTGTCCGAGGATCTTGGGCCTCTCTGGGTGAGTGCCTCTCTGATCAGCGTGCACTTGGCAGGGCTGGGGATGGAGTCAAGCAGCAGCAGCGAGGCCTACCTGCTGTGTCGCATGCTGGCACCACAGGGCGTGTGGTATCCGCAGATCTTGTGCTTCTCCAGCTGGGCGCCTCTCTGATCGGCACACACTCAGCAGGGCGGGGGGTGGAGTCCTGTCTGCTGTTACAGGGCTCCTTTACTTCAAACATTTCTTCTCTCCCTGTTGTTTCTTTATCAATATCATTTCAGGGTCACCCAGGCTACTCCTCCCCATCTCTTACTACTTCAAATTGCTCCTAACCGTGTATTATAAAGGTTTTCAAACATACAGAAAAGTTGTATTAAGATTATTGCAAATATTCTTCAAATTTTCTTTATATTTGTGTATATGTACAGCTTTGTCTGTACTATTTGAAGGTCAGTTCAAACATTGTGACACTTCATCTCTAGATACTTAAGTATGGTTCTCTAAGAATAAAATCATTCACGAGCATAAATCCCATTCTCATTATCATAACGAAGAGATTTAATTGTAATTCCATAATACCATCTATATCTGATCTATGTTCACATTTCCTCAGCTGTCCCAAAAATTTCTTGGATCCATTCAAAGTTCATGTGTTGCTGTTGGTTTTTATGACTCTCTTTTAAGCTGGAACAATCCCTTGTAGATATATATTTTCTGTAATTGTAGTCTCAGTTTAACCTGTTATAATTCAGCTTCTGTGTTTTTTGTGATGAGTGTATACCATAAGGCAATAAGAGGAATTCTAAGAAACCAGTGGCTGAAATGCTGGAAGAAGGAAGCCATGGGTTCCTTGTTATATCATCATTTTTGTGTTAATGATTGCATTATGATAACTTCAGATTTCATTATAAATAACAATAATTCCTCTATATTTACATTTTTCTGTGGTTCTCTTAGATACTGTGTTTTTTCACTTGCCACCCAGAAATGGAAATGGAGCCACAGTATATGGTATCTCTTGCTATCGACAAATTGAAGCCAAGGTATGATAGTTAATGGTGAACAACAGAAACTCCAAAATCCTTTCTTAGATGTTGGTCACTTAGGGAAACACTTAGTCTTTTTCATGTGGTGCCTGCGATGTTGCTTTAGACATTATAAACAATTTGTAGCTGTTTCTCCAACAGTACCAATTTATTCAGACAAATGGTTTCATAAGTTGACATTGGTGGCTATGATTATATTTGTATCATAATTTGTACATTGTAGATAGTTATAACTAAATTATCCATTTGTCTTCAAAATACTATACTTAAATTTCATGATGTCTTTGAATTTTCTATTTCTAGTGTTTGGTACATAGAAAAATGGAGTGGGGATGTGTGTGTGTGTTTAAGCAGCATTTTAGAAGTAGTGGAATGTAGTTATAGTAGCTTCCAACTACTTACAAGTTATCTTAATTATCTGTAACTAAGACTTTGATTATTCTTAAACTACCTGTCAGCTTAATGCCTGACTTACTATAATAGCTCTAATTAATAAATTTGAATAAGCCAAGATGGGTAGCCCCCCTTTCATGGTTTGGTTATGTGCAGCACTGTTTTGTGGTGGGGGTAATCTTTATGAGTAAAAATCTCTTTCCTCTCATGGTGTCATTGATACCCTAAAGTAGGGAGTAGTTCTCAGCCTCAGCTGCACATTGGAATCATCTGGACAGCTTTAAAGGCTAAGGATGATTGGATCCCCACCCCAGAGATTCTGATTTAATGTTCTGAGCATCAGGAATTTTGAAACCTCCCCAGGTAATTCTAATATGTAATCAAGACTGAGAGCCACTGTTCTAAAACAATAGTTTTTAACCAGAATTACCTGGAGACTTTTTTTTTTTTTTTGATATATGTACCTAGCTTTTCCTCCTACTGACTAAATTAGAATCTCTGGGAGTAGAGCCTGAGCAATTATAAGTTGCATAAGCTTCCTTGGGTGTGTAATTAACTTAATAAGTCTTTTCTTTATTTCCTTCTTTTTATAATGAGAATTTCAAACATGCAGATAAATTAAAACAGTACAGTGAACACCTGTATACCTACCATCTAGAATCCACAATTGTTAATGTTCACTACATTTGCTGTGTATGTGTATTTTTTTCCCTGAACTATTTGAAAGTAAACTATAGGTATAAATTCCAGGATACCCAAGCAGTTAATGACTGTGAAATAACCCTCCAAGCACAGGACCTGGAACATAAGACAAATCCAGTAAATGTTTGCTGAATGAATAACTGAATCTAAAGCTGAATCATACACCTTACATATATACAATTCTTATTTGTCAATTATGTCTCAATAAAGCTGGGAAAATAAAATAAAGCTAATTATAAAAGAAATCTGAGAATAAGAGTTATCCTGGTAGCTTTGCACATTTAATTTTTTCATAAGGTAATGTTACCATTATATGCTTACATATGGGATGAATTGAGCTCCTGCCCTTTCTTAGAAATCGGTTCCTTCTACTAACTCTTTGCCTGCATAGGTCATATAAGTACTAGTAATAATATTTCTCCTAAGTGGTCTTACCCCTCATAGCTGTTGCATAGCCTTTAACTACTGCCAGTCTCCCTCACCCCTTGGGTCTGACCCCACTCCAGAGTATATTATATTGCCCATTTCTCCAAGTTTTCCTAGCCTCTTCTAAAAACCAGGCAGATAAGCCAGATATCAGAGGGTCCTAGAGCCTAGGAGAAAGACTTTAATTCCCTTTGAACAAAGGTCAGACATAATGGATTAATCCAGTCAACAAGAAGGACTCTATTCTTGACCTGATTTAATGAACTAGTCATCAGTCAACTGAAGACACTGAGGCTCACTGGTCCTCAGGACAGATCCAAGGAGGTGTCAGGTAGTACGCTAGAGGCAGAGGAGGCCTTCTTTCTTCCTTCACAGCCTCATCTGAGGTTGATCAAATCAAGACTGTTCTCTGCTAGCAGAGAACTGTAGAAATCTCACATGGTCATCCTCATGATCTCTGAGGAATGAGTTCTGGGCTCAGCCCTGGGCTGCAATACAAGTCTGTCAGCAAAGACTCCAGGCAGCATAGAGTAACTAACTTAGCAAAACTGCCAACAGTTCCTCCGTTTCTGGAGAAACAAGTTGTCTGTTTTTGTCATCTCTTAAACTAACCCCTTCTTACCAGAAACAGTGATCTCTGAAGAAACTGCCCATTTTAAAACCAGAATCAACAATGGTTGGTTTGCAGTGAATGGTTGGTTTGGGTGTGGTGACTTACTACATGTAAGTATTCTTCAAACTATAAATTCCTTTAGAGTATGGATTGTCCTCTATCTAAAGCTGATTCTGGCATGTAGTGCCCAGGCTTACATTTATTCACACATATTTTATGAAATTCTCAATAATTTTTTTAATTTAATTAAATACAATAAATTTCTTTTATTTAATTGCTATTTTTATATTTGAAAAGATGATTTTTAAAATATTGCTATGAAATATTTCTGATAATGGCTATTTGTTTATAATAGGCATTGAAAGTAAGGCAAGCAGATATTACCAGAGAGACTGTTCAGAAAAGTGTCTGTGTCCTAAGCAAACTGGTAAGAGACCAAGTAACTTGTGAGTACACGCGCGCGTGTGTGTGTGTGTTAAACATTCATGGCAGATTTTTATTTTAGGATAAGGCATTATTAGAATAAGAAGAGATTTATGACAACAGTAATATGTTAAAATTAGTGAGGGGCTTATTTATGCTCTTGCATCTCCTCATTCTCTTTACCTTTCCGCAGTACTACTTTCATTTGCACCTTCACCCAAGGCTAGATAAGAGGACAGAGACTTGATAGGTTGTTGTTGGGAAGGAAGTTGACACTTAACTAAAATGAAGTAATGTGATATATTTCATTTATCCATTTTTGTTTTGTTCTCAAGACTTTGGATAAATAATATTTTACTAAAATTCAAAATACCATGATTACTCAGATTTTATCAATGATATAGAAGTTCCTGACTATTGCAGTGAAAAATTTTAGCCTTGACTTGCCATTTAAATTTTAAAATGTTTGAGGAAAGGAAATGACAATGAAATTGTATATAATAATACCTAAAAATTGTGTTTTTTCTGTGTACAAGTTGATCAGATGCATGTCTTTTAACTTAGTATATAACATTTCTTGTTTTTTATAGCTCTCTTCATTAAATCATTTGCAATGTTCCATGTTTATTACTAAAGGGATAATAACACCTTTACCAGTAACACCAAATGCCTAATTCTACATGTAAAACATAGCCCCAAATATCTCCTTTGTGGGGAAAAATCCAGATCTTTATCATACTGATTATCTTAGATCTATATGATTACTGTACGCAACCATTTCTGTAGTTACCTAAACCAAAATTGAGACTATTTCATTAGCCTAGTCACCAAATATGTGTAGGTTTTGTTTAATTATTTCTTTTGTAATTGTCCAGTTTCATGTATCTATAGGCAATTTAAATGTAGTTTGCTTAATATAAAATAAGATTTATTTTGGCTTCTATTACTAAGCTGAAAAAAGAAACTCTTAATGATAATAATAATAATTTAATACTGTGGGCCTTAATAATAAAATTTTGAGGATCAGAATACTTCTTCCAAGACAGTAATTTTAAATATAAGGCAAGAATAGTCTCCTAGAAAAGGAATGGGTATGAAAGATAACAGTATCAGAAAATTGGTAAATTGCTGAGCTGAATCCTGTATACAGTTTCTAGAAGAGTAGTCTGAAAAATATACATTAGCGAATTACTTTTTTATACCAGGCCAGATGATCAAAACATAAGAGTACCAGATATTAAAGGAAATGTAACATAGAGGCCTCCTGAGTAATCATTCTTCAAAGAATAATTACAACAATAATAGATACCATTTATTGAGTGCCTGTGTGTTAAGTATTAATTCTATACCAGACTTTTTAATATATAATTGTCATTTCAATCCTTATAACAACATTGATATGTACTTATTGTTCTCATTTTGCAAATAAAGATATATCTCAGACAAAAAAATGTGTAATTCTCACAGACATGTAACTACTAAGTGATAAAATTGGGGTTAAAATCCAGTTTTATCTGTTTCTAAAACAGACACAAAGGATGGAAAGAGGTAGCTCACCCAAAAAGGTCTGGTTGTTCATAGTGCATTGTAGTCTATGTACAAAAATAAAATTAATTTATAGTTAGATGGTAATAATGATATATTAACAGGGATGTTGGGGAAGAAATCTATTTCAATATTATTTGTTTTAACTAATTAGAGTATATGTACAGCTTTGGTCTCTGCATCCTGAAAAGAAAATAGAAATGAGAAAATGTCTAGAAAAGAACATTACAAATAAAAGGATGGAAATGGTAGAAGAAGATCCTTAAATAGGAGAAATAAGAATTAAGGAATAATTTTGTTCAAGTATACAAAAGAATAATATGATAGAGGATACAGACTGATTGTTCTAAGCCTCCGCAGAGGTCAAAAAAAGGGAAATGTACTTTAATTTAATCATGAGTGTTCAGCTAGCTACAAGAACAGGCTGTTTATAAGGATGATTAAATGTTGCCACAAGACAGCAGAACAGTGTGCAGAATTAGAATATGTTTTAATCTTATAATAGCTAATGTTTGAGTGCTTTCTGTGTGTGAGATACTCTGAGTGCTTTTACCTGTTATTTAATCCTTAAAACAACCATATGTGATATACTGTCTTTTCATATACCCATATTTAGATCAGCCAGCAGGTGTGGAGAGATTTAGTGCTCAGAGTTATACAGCTGAGTAATGGAGCCAGGCCCAGGAAGTCTGAGCCCATGCTGTTAACTACACTGTACTGTGAATGTTTTAGGCACTTTTCACCCACAGTCAAAGAGGTAGAACAGGTGGCTTCTCAGCTTTCAGCTGTGAATAATACAACACTAAAGGTGACGGTTTACTAACTTTTTTTTCCTTGTTCTCTTCAAATTAAAAGGTTTTGTGGTTTCATTTGTTTTTTACTATCATCAACTTAATGGTAATTTCTCTTTTTTTTCTTTAAGCCTCTCTATGGTTTACTTCAAGCAAAACTTCAGCTCATTACACATGCATATTTTGAAGAGAAGGATTTTTCCCAAATTTCCATTCTAAAGGTAATTTTATTTTTTTTATTTTTTATTTTTTTTTGACCGGTAAGGGGATCGCAACCCTTGGCTCGGTGTTGTCCACACCACGCTCAGCCAGTGAGCGCACCGGCCATCCCTATATAGGATCCGAACCCGCAGCCTTGGCACCCCCAGCACCTCACTCTCCCAAGTGAGCCACGGGGCCAGACCCTAAAGGTAATTTTAAACCCTTCTATAGATGTTTGGCTGAAGATAGATTCATGAATCAAGTAAATCTTGTCAGTAATACTATGAAAGGTAATCATTTATTATCTTAAGAAAGACATTCTTCTTTCAAAGTACATTAACATTAAAATATTGAAGGACCAGGGATCTGTCCAGATAAGCAGGCATTTCAAAAAGTTGGTTGAAAGATTCATATTACCTTTTAATTCTGTTTTTCCATAAACTTTTTGAAGTACCTTACACTTACCTTAACCAAGCTGTCTTTTTAAGGAAATAATGACTACAAATAACTATAATTTATATACATTTCTTTTAATGAATAATAGCCCTTTTGCTATGGCGTTGCTTCTGTAAATTTGCTTATCTTATTAATACACTTTAAAGTATATTTATATATGAGGTTTCTGGTTCCTGGCTCCCACAAGTATAAACCAGAAAAACCACATGATTATTTTATTGAAGATGGATAACATGTTATTCTCAAGGGTGCCATGAATATATATAGAAAAAGGATCTGGATTCTGGTGAGAGTAGGACAGGTATTTAGCAAAGAAACCAAGAGAATTTATCATAGGAGTTTATACCACCATGTGAATGAATCAAACTCTAAAATGTAGAGGGAGAGAGGGAGTACCATGAGTGGCTTTCACTCTTCCTGCCCAGATCTTTTCTGATATTGCTCATATCTGGGGGAGAAGGAATGAGTTCTGGAAACTGGCAGGGTTTCAGGGAGGCCTTGATTGTTTCTAAGTTTAGCACCTAGCAAAACAAACTGCCTCAGTTAAGGAACTGACTTTTTTCTGATCATTGTATTTCTAATTCAGTGTCCAAAATGATAGTAAAATGTTCCAAATCTGTATTTTATAGGAGCTTTATGAACATATGAATAATTCCTTGGGAGGAACTTCATTAGAAGGATCTCAAGTATATCTCGGTAAGTAACTTTTTTACAAGTCAGAACAGATGCCCTTCTTTGTTTGGCTGACTGAGTTACATGTAAATTTCATAATCAGAATTACACCTCTGTATTGTATCTAAATTCTTCAGTGTTTGGTGCTGCTTCGTCCTTAAATATTTTCTTAGCCAGCGTTTATGCTGAGAAGGGTTTTAATAACATACTGGTAGGAATATTTACAGCTATTATTGCACAAAGTATATTTCTGCTTTTCAGAATAGTAATGGAAGTTTTTTCTTACATTAATGCTGACCAACTCAATGCTGTGTCATAACAAAGAAGGGAGAGCAGGAGAGAGAGAGCTGTTCAGCTCTTTTCTATTCTAGATTCTTCAGATTGGGAATTTTGTTTAGTTTATACTGTCTTGACAACCTAGAATATCCATTGGTATCTAAGGTACTCAATGGGCAACTCAATAAATATCCTTTTCATGATGAAAAAAGTTTTAATCAAATAGTGATATATGTTTACTCAATTCCTATTTCAACATGGAGTAGCCCAATTGTGGTAGTTTACTCTTGCAATCCTGTGTGTAATGTAAGCTAGTTATAGAGCTCCTATTTGGACATATTTTTCTATAACTTATTTTCTCTGTACTGTGGTACTTGAAGCGGATGATTGAAGAAGACTGTAATTCAGAAATAATAGCATATGGAGTGCGGTAACAAATATGATGTTTAAGTGACTGACTGCCACTATAATATAAGCTTTATCATTTCTAAACTTGTGCAGCTTATGTTCATAGAATGGGGGAAGGTGTTAGACCTGCACTGTCCAAAACAGTAGCCACCAGCCACATGTAGCTATCTAAATTTAGATTAAAATTAATAAAAAATAAAATTTAAGTCAGTCACATTTGCCATATTTCAAGTGCTCATAACTAGCTACTGTCTGTATTGGACAGGGCAGGCTTAAAACATTTCCATCCTTGCAGAAAGTTCTGTCAGCACTGTTTATGAGCATATGTGTACTTCATCAAATATTACATAAATATTTATATATTTGCATATTCCTACTTTATTTTTGTAACCTGTCTTTCCTTCAAGGGAAGTTTATTTTAACTTTCTTTTCTTTTTTATTAATAATATTCTTTTACAGCCTAGGATGTTTTTGCGGAGCAGTTGAGAGGGAGCGGGAGAGGGGAAAGGCAAAGGAAATGTGATGGAAGAAGGAGGAAGGAAGAGGGGTGGGATTATTTTAACTTTCTTTAACAAAAACAGTAGATTGTAGTCACACGTTAGCTTTTTTGTCAACATTGTAGGTCTGTCTCCTCGAGATCTTGTCCTTCATTTTCGACACAAGGTATGATACCTTATTTACTTATAGTGTACTAAAATGGGGGGCACTTTTTATTGTGTTCATGTAAATGACAAATTCAGTGTGCTAAATCAAACACAGATTGTGACATAATGTTTTAGTTTTGGTGTTTTTTTGGTTTTTGTCAAATTCTATTTTGACATGTTTTAGTTCTAAGACATTGCTTGGTCTCATAACCGTACAAAGTTGAAAGTGTTGGTAGTGTTTGTAGCATAGAAATTCCTAAGAGAGTACAAATACTGTTTGTTTACTTTTTTGCAGGATAGGGCATTTTTTTCTGTTGTCTTTGTAATTTCAGCTATCATGAGATTAGAGTGGAAAGAAACATGTTTTGATCTCACAATATATTTTATATGTTGCCCCGAAAATGGGACATTTTTCAGTAAAATATCCATGCTCATGCCTTCTGATCCTTATTATTAAAGCATATGTTGACTAAGACATACACACATTGATGATTTAATACTTATTGAACACCTGCTATGTGTACACCCTGCATATCCAGAAATAAATGAATAGTTCTTGCCCTTTAACGAGCTTACAAATATTTCAAGCAAAAATAGACCAGTCCTTTAATTTTTAAAAAAAAGATAATTTCAGTTAGAGATTTAAGTGATTCATACATTTTTTAGAGGACACAGTAATATTTAATTTCTCAGTATAAGTTCACTATTTTTCATGTATTTTTAGAAGTGCTATAATTATTTCATATTATTGCTTAAATGATATATGGTTATGTTTGGGGAGGAGAAAAGGCAAATGAGTAATAGTTTTGAGTTTCTCATTTTATAAAACATTTTGTTTTTCTTTCTGCAGGTCTTAATCCTGTTTAAACTAATTCTTCTTGAAAAAAAGGTGAGATTCAAAGGGATGAAAGGAAAGATGGAATATTTTAACTTTTATTGATGTTTCTTACATATTACATAAAATTGAAACTAATGATAAAGTATTACATTTTTTGCCTCTCAATTGTCGTGTGCTAAAGCACATGTTCTTGTTCACTGTCATAGACGTAGAAATTTGTGCAGTTTTTCTGTAGGTAGTTTAACAGTATATTCAGTTATCGGGATGGTTTTCACTACAGGTAATGGAAAATCCAATTTTTGGCAGTGGGGGGCGAGGGTGGCGACTGGCCCATACAGGGATCCAAGCTCTTGACCTTGGTGTTATAACACTGTGCTCTAACCAGCAGTGCTAACTGGCCAGCCCTATACTCAATTTTAAACTGACTTAAATAGAAAGGGAATCTATTGGCTCCCATCAGACTTCAGGGTTGGTTGACTCAGTGGTTCCAGAGTATAATTATGTACCTAGTTTTTCCCTCTCTTTGCTCTACAGTCTGCAGTTCTAGCTTTATCCAGAGCCTGGTTTCCCTTAAAGATATGAAACTGCCAACAGTAATTGAGCTATTTGCTTCCGCATTATACCTCTTCCCAAACCATTTAATAAGAATTCTTCCCTTCAGTTTGCTTGGGTCTAGCAGACCACAGGCCTACCCCTGAACCTGTAATTCTTGTCAAAGATGTACCTGCACTGATTGGCTTAAACTTGGGTTCCAGACCGCTCTGTGATACAAAGGGATGGGATTGTCATGATTAGTTTAGAGCAAAAGTCTACAAACTAGGCCCCACAGCCAAATCTGGCCCACCACCTGTTTTTGTAGATAAAGTTGCACCCATTCATGTACTTATTGTTCATGCCTGTTTTCACACTATTGTGGCAGAATTGAGTAGTTGCAACAGAGACCATATGGCCTGCAAAGAAAAAATACTTACTGTCTGGCCCTGAATAGAAAAAGTTCACTGACCCCTGGTTTAGACTAATCAGGAGTCATCCCTGGATCTGGGGCCAGTTTTATATACCACATTACTGTGCTCGGTGGAATAAGAATGGAAAGGATGTTGGGAAGTTGACCATGCACAATGTCCACTATGGTTTATTAACTTAAAAATATTTATTCCTGGGCCGAGCCTGTGGCGCACTCGGGAGAGTGCAGCGCTGGGAGCGCAGCAGCGCTCCCGCCGCGGGTTCGGATCCTATATAGGGATGACCAGTGTGCTCACTGGCTGAGCGCGGTGCGGCCGGTCTCAAAAAGGACAAAAAAATATATATATATATTTATTCTTTTGACCCAGTATTTCTCCTTTTAAGAGATTTATTTTCCAGAATTAATTTGAGTTGGACAGAAAGCTCTAAGTCTGTCACAGAATGAGTTTTAATAATGAATTATAAGCAAATAACTAAGTAATGGTTTATCTTTTATGTTGTATATAATTCCAAACAGTAAAAAGTATGCTGAGATTTCTTTATTGTTGTCAAGATGTTTCATTGCATGTTAAGTGAAAAAAATTTGTCCAACTACATATCAAGCCCATGATCCCAGTTTTGTAAATAAATATATATGCATTGAAAAGAGAGTGAAGAAAAGATATCAATATAGCTTGGTGAGAATATAGGTTATATTTTTTTAAATGAAATACTTTTCTGTATCCTAAGTTTCTGTAAGGAATATATAGTCCTTTTTCAAACAAAAAAATTAAACATTTTAAGAAATTAATGAACTCAACATATACTAGTGCAGTGTTTAAAAAAAATTTTTTTTAATTTTTTTCAATTCTGATAAAATACACGTAACCTAAAATTTACTATCTTAACCATTTTAAAGTGTACAATTCAGTGGTAAGTACATTCACATTGTTGTGCACACATCATCACCACGCAGAACTGACTTTTCATCACGCAGAACTGAAACTCTGTATTTATTAAACAATAATTCTCCCGGTTAGCTCACTTGGGAGAGTGTGGTGCTGGTAACGCCAAGGTCATGGGTTCAGATCCCTGTACCAGCCAAGTGCCAAAAAATATACATATATATAAAACTCTCCATTCTTCCCTCCCCCCAGCCTCTGGCAGCCACTGTTCTGCCTTCTGTCTCTGAATTCAACTACTCTATGTTCATATAAGTGGAGTCATGCAGTATTTGTCATTTTGTGACTGGCATATTTCACTTAACATAATGTCCTCGAGATTCATGTACATTGTAGCATCTGTCAGAATTTTCTTCCTTTTAAAAGCTGAATAATATTACATTGTATGGCTTTACCACATTTTGTTTATTCATTTAACAAGAAGAGGCATTATTCAATGTGTAATCACTACTCTTCTTATTCAATAGATATGCAGACATTTAATCACATACCCGTAGAGCAAAGGAGTATATCACATTTACACATTTACTTATAGACAGATTTTGTTATTTAAAATTGCTTTAAGATTATTTATGCCTTGCGCCGAGCCCATGGCGCACTCGGGAAAGTGCGGCACTGGGAGCCCAGCAGCGCTCCTGCCGCGGGTTCGGATTTTATATAGGGATGGCTGGTGCGCTCACTGGCTGAGTGCGGTGCGGCCAGTCTCAAAAAGGACAAAAAAAAAAAAAAAAAAAAAGATTATTTATGCTTTGATTTAGGGCCTTTCTGAATTTGGTAGAGGTTCTACAAGTATTTGTTTAAATCACAGAAGAGACTATTAATAAAGTCCTATGTGATTTCTCTTCAACCGTGATCTATTTTTTAATTATTTTAAAAAGAAAACTCTTCTAGGCAAATCTTTGTTTTTTAACTAACTTAATATCAGCTGGTGTTAATTTTAGCGCAGTATCGAACTGAATCCTGTTTCATTTTTTTTTTTTTTTTAAAGATGACCGGTAAGGGGATCTTAACCCTTGGCTTGGTGTTGTCAGCACCACGCTTTCCAAAGTAAGCTAACTGGCCATCCCTGTGTAGGGATCCAAACCCTTGGCCATGGTGTTATCAGCACCATACTCTCCCAAGTGAGCCATGGGCCAGCCCTTAAATCCTGTTTCTAATTTAATTTTTTCTCAATTGTTTTTCTGAAAAAAATGTCAAACCTACTGAAAAGTTGATAGGATATTATAGTTAAACCTTTACAGTCTTCATCTGTATTTACCAGTTGATAACATTTTGCCCCTTCTGCATTATATTGCTTTATATGTTCATTTTTCCCCATGAATCATAATGCTATACTTTGAAAGTAATTTGTAGGCATCATGGTAATTCACCCCTAAATAGGGTATATTTTTTTAAGAATAAGGGTATATATTCCTACATAACCAAAATACTAATTTCATATTCAGAAAACTTAACATTGACACAATAAATGATATCCAATATACAGTCTATTTTTATGTTTTCCCAGATGTAATAATAATGTACTTTATAGCCGATTGTTTTCAATCTGCAATCCAGTCAGGAATCATGTATTGCATTGCTAGCTCTCTTTAATCTCAGAGAGTTTCACCACCTCTCGCTCTTTTTTATTTGTTCAGTTCTTTTTGTATTTCAGGACATTGGCAGTTTTTAAAGAATCCAGACTGGAATTGTAGAGTTAGATTTGTTTGATTTTCTTCTTGTGGCTAGTTTCAGATTAAATTCTTTTTTAACAAGAATGCTACACAAGTGGTAGTGTCCTTCTTAAGAACATGACATCACAAGGCCCATAAGTGTTTGTATTATTGTAGGTGATGTGAAGTTTGATCATTTGATTAAGGTGGTCTGGTGGTTGCCACCTTAATAGGTAATCTGTGGAATGATAAATTTGAGGCATTGTGAATATTCTGTTAACCAACAACCTTTCACTGTAGTTTTAGCGTCCATTGGTAGTTTTTATGTGAATCATGCTGGATGCTAAGTAGTGATTTCCCATCATTGCTTCTGCATTTATTGGCTGTTATTCTATAAAGAATTTTTCCTTCCCTTCCTCCCTTTTTTTTTTAAATATAGTATTATTATAGTCTCATGGATTTTCTAATTTAACCTTGATTACATCCATTTCAGGTTCTTTTTTATATTTCTCCAGTGAATAAACTGGTAGGTTCACTGATGACTGTGTTATCCCTTTTTCCAGGTAAGAGGACAACAGTATCTATTTTTTCTTTTGTTTAACTTGTACTGGAACTTTAAATAGTAAAATTTTTCAGGAATAAACTTGTTAAAATTAACATTTCTATTTTAATATGACATTTTTCCTTTTGGCAGTAAGTTTCTCTCTTTTGTCCAGGGTTTCTTTTTTTTTTTTTTTTCCTTTAATTAAAATGTGTGCAAGTGTAGCTTATTAAAGTTTTTGTAGGAGAGTTTCACTGTATAGAAAGAATATACAATTCTTATTTTGTTCCATATTATTATAAGCCAAGCTGTTTTCCAATATTGTGTATTTTAGGCATGATTGAACATGGTCTCAGTGACTGTTCTCAGTACAGACCCCGAAAGAGTATGACTGAAGATGCTGGACTTCAGGAAAGCAATCCTCCTGCAGATAATTTTGTTTGTGGGTCTACTTCTGACATTTCAAATACCAACTTGGGAACTGTCAAAACAATCATGGCAGGAAACCATGGAGACGGTGCTGCCATCAAGACTGAAGAGCATTTGTTCCAAGAAGATGACAGCAAAGGACAGGAACCAAATAATACCAATCAATATTTGAAACTTCCATCTCGCCCATCTCCAGAGTCTTCAGAAAGTGACTGGGAGACCTTGGATCCTAGTATCTTAGAGGACCCCAACTTGAAAGAAAGAGAGCAGGTGGGATCCGATCAGACAAACTTATTTCCAAAGGACTCTGTGCCCTCAGATAGTCCTCCAATTACTGTACAACCTCAAGCTCACATTGGGCAGGTGGTCCTGATACCAGGGCTCATTTCAGGTTTGGAAGAAGACCAGTACGGCATGCCCCTGGCCATCTTCACAAAGGTAAAGTGTCCATTATTGAGTCCTTAAAAACTATGACATAATCTTTTTAGAATGTAACTTTCAGTGTTGAGCTCATTTTCAGGTTTGAGAATTTTTCTTTTTTTAAAAAAAAAAAAAAGGGAATCTTAACCCTTGACTTGGTGTTGTCAGCACCACACTCTCCCAAATGAGCTAACCAGCCATCCCTATATAGGGATCTGAACCCGTGGCCTTGGTGTTATCAGCACCACACTCTCCCAAGTGAGCGATGGGCCAGCCCTGAAAATTTTTCTTGAAAACTGTAAAATACATACCAAATGTATAGTGCTGTGGCATCTGTGACCATAGGGTAAAGGGAAGTAATTCAGGGGGTTTTGTTTGGAAAGAATTTTGAAACCTAGGAGATATGAGGTCAGCAGTCACTCACTGTATTAGATCTATTTTTAATTATTTAGGTTTCTCCAGACAGTCTTGATTGCAGTTGATGACTATATATTAAAATACTACAATTCTAAAAGCTACAATTTCTTTAAAAATGCTTAGATGTCTCACTGATATTAATAAGTGTATATATTTATGCTTATTAAGTGTACTTATTATATTAGTAATATTCACTTAGATATTATTTAGTGTTTTGGCTGATTATGTTCTAAAAGTATTTTTTAATGTTTTTATGAAAACCATTTAAAATGTATTTATAATTTTTTTAGTAACTTAATCACAATAGTACATCAAATTGAATCTTTGATCCAGGATCTTATATCTCAGGATATCATTTCTTTTTTTTTTTTTTTTTTTTTTTTTTTTTTTTTTTTTGTCTTTTTGTCTTTTTCCGTGTCCGGCAATGGAACGCAACCCTCAGTGTTGCCCCCGTACCGGACCGGGGACCGGCAACGGGATCGCAACCCTCGGTGGTGCTCCCCCGCCCCGCTCAGCC